GTGTACTGACTGATGCTGTCCTAACCATAACCTACCATTTCTGTTAGACACTCTACTCGGTGTTCAGACTCTCACTTTGCCTCTGCTTCAACCCGGCAAACGATATTATTGCTCTCCTATATTACACATGAGCAAAGTGAGGCACACAAGAGCTTGGTAACTTGTCCAAGATCCACAGTTCAAGGTGGGATCTGATTCCAGGCTCATCCAAAGCCAAAGTCTAGGATCTTCTCTTTTACTTGAAATATTTCCAATAAGAAAGAGTAGCCTTGAAATGAAGTGCAGAGTACATGTAAAATGGATTAACCACTGACAAGCACAGTCAGGATCCTGTCCACTCCAGTTAAGAGGAGTTATAACATGAAGGCTGAGATTAGCTTTCAAGAGCAATGGTTCTCAACCTGTGGGTCGCAACCCCTTGGGGGATTGAACGACCATTCACAGGGGTCGCCTATGACCACTGGAAAACAGGCATTTACATTATGATTTATAACAATAAAATTACAGTTATGAAGTAGCAACAAAGATAATTTTATGGTTGGGGTCACCACAACATGAGGAACTGTATTAAAGGGTCACAGCATTAGGAAGGTTGAGAACCACTGGTCTAGGGTTTTCTCCACTCAAAGCCTCATGGTGACTTCGGTATTTTCAGGCCTGAACTCACCCTAAGGGGAGGGAGGTGACCTGCCCAAGGCCACACAGGGAGCTTAAGAGAACTACTGGTCAAACTCAAGGCTTCTCTAGCCTTCTTTCCAGGTAAGAACATTCAGGAACAAGAAAGAACCTTCTATTGCTCCCTTCTGCTTGGACAAATAATCCTAGGCATAGTGTAAGTAAGCAAGTCCCGGAAAACATATAACTTCCCTTTGACGTTTTTATTGGGGTAGGGCAGGGTAGGGCCATGTGACTCACCACACTGTCAGATCTCTCCCTATTCTGTAATCAGGTGGCCTCAGCCCAGCACTCATAACTGTCAAGTCCCACAGCCCATGATGACGACTCAGTTACTCAGGAGACAATCAAGCGGCTAGCATAGAAAAGACAGTCTCCCAGAAACACACCCCTCTCTTTCCCCCCCTGTGCTTCAAAAAGAAGCAAAGAACCTATCTGGATTCTTTGTGCACCCACCCCGCCCCCCAGCACCCAGACTCACCTGTTCAAGAAGGCATTGCCAAAGGCATTGAGCTTTCGGAAGGGTTTCTTCGGATCCACTACCAGGGCGTTCCCAGGGATGATCCCCTCTACGTCTCCTTGCATCACTGCTATGAAGGAATCAGTGGTCGGCTCGGGCCCAATTCTCATGCCTGGGAAATCCTGTTCCAGCAGGTACCTGCAGGAAAGGGTGCAGTCATGTAGGCTTGGTGCTCATAGATGACCCCTTTGTCTACTACACACTGCCTAGACACAGGTCACGGGGCAGGGACAGAACCAGAGCAAGCACTGTACAGAGGAGGTGGGATTTAGCTGAACTTCACATGCTCTGTTTTCTTGGTCCTTTCCCCCTTCCTGACTCAGGAAGGAATGAAGGAAAGCCAAGGCTTGACTCTGAAGCAACCGTGGGCTGAAGCTGATCCCTAACTAGGATATTGCAGAGTTCACAAATCAAGGTTACTGCTGAAATTCACACACACAGGCAAAGAATCAGACAATCCCAAGGCTCTCCTGGCTTCTTGGAGATCATTAGCTATATACATGATTGGTTATTTAATACAGAGCGTTTATATGTGATATAATGGAAAAGCAGCCTGGAGGGTAAACTACACACAATGAATTGCAACCCATCCTAGATTTGTGTGTGTGTGTGTGTGTGTGTGTGTTCTGTAGAAATATTCCATATATACACATGCTACAGTTTTTGTGATTAAGCATACTTACACGTAGATGACTGAAGGTTTTTTCTTATTTTTATTATTTATTGTGTGTGTTGTAGTCCTATTTATGTATTTGTTTGTGTATGTGTGTGTGTTGACATGCGTCACTGTGCCTGTGTGAAAATCAGAGAATAATGAACTGGCTCTCTCCTTCCACCGTGAGTCCTAGGATGAAACTCAAGCCATTAGGCTTGGTGGCAGGAGTCCTTCCCCTCTGAGCCATCTCATTGGCCAACTGGAGTTTTTAAGAGTTTATACCTTCCCTTCTTGTCACGACCCAACTGGCGCAGCTTCCAGCATGTGACCACATTCAAGACACTCTGTGTTGGACTTCCACAAGACACCTTCCCTCCCTTGTGTCCTTAGGCTTCGGGAAGTTTCCTTACCAAGATTTCAGTTTGTGGAGGGGTTCTTGGTTGGAAAGTCTAGCTTTGCATTCTTTTAAAGGGCTTGGGTTTTATCGTTTCTACCTGAAGTGGAATCAAAATTTACCTTTTATCTACTGATGTTTTTCTACTGCACCTGACACCCGCACACACACGTACCCTGCCCCCAACTTGTACAGACATAGTAACCACAGAGGATGTGTGCAGCCTCTAGGTGGGAATTTACATACTCTGCAAGATTATGCAGATAATAGCTATGCAGCGGTTTTGTCTTATGCGTAATACATCTGGGAGACAGCTCAAATTTACTTTACCCTTGTTAATTACTACGTATAATCCCGTGATGCGAATTATTACAAACGCTTCTTAGTGAAATCCTTCTTGCTATCTAACAGCAGTTTCTGTTGTCTAGAAGGGAGAGAAATGGCTGTTCGGGAATTGATACACTTCAGTGAAAGAAGGGAAGAGGAGGAGGGGTGGTTGCCTATTTTTACGGGGTGGTTTTTAACGCCTTCCCTTTCTACTTCCTGCACCTGACTCTTCTCACACACGACCCCAAGCAGGCCCCTTCCCTGCTCTGAGCCTCATGGTTTGTTCTACTAGGAGACTGGTCAATGTGATCTCCGGAGGGCCTTCTGTTTCCTGGGCCACTGTGCCAGGAAAGGACTCTGGGTGGTATCATCTGCAGCCATTTATTCTCATCCCTTGATGAAGAGTACTTTTGAGGGGGCAGGAGGATGGTTGCTTCTGAAATTCTGGCCATGGCACAGCATGACAGGTACCCCTCTGTTCTTCTCTCGGCCTGGGCAGTGAGAGTCCAAGGCTACCTGTTTCCCCCACTCTGCTGCCCCTTATAGAGGCTAAGAGCAAAGGCACATGCTTAGTCAGGGAGTAGTCACCACCACCAACAGACAACAGAGTTCTTTAGGATGCCAGCACAAGTCTGGACACAGACAGTGGGAGGCTGGACTGAATACAAGTGCACAGATGTGTCCTGGGGTAGGACTGGCCAGACAGAGGATAGTCCTGGAGCATCTTTTGAGAGAGCCAAAGGACACTGCCCGAGAAATACAGACCTACAAATGAGGCCCCAGGAACAAGGAGCAATGAAATTAACTTTATGGTTGGGACAGAGGGGTCACCACAACACGAGGAACCATACTAAAGCATTAGAAAGGTAGAGAACTATGGCGTTAGAAGATTCCCAGATGATTCAAACACACAACCCAGGGCATTATGAGATGCTCTGTATCAACTCTATCATTTTCCTGGTAATAACCATTGACATGTAATAGCAATTCTAAGTCACATTTTATTCTGAAACTGACAATGCTGTCTCTTTCGTCCCTGTGGTGCCACTTGAGGTAGGCACTGAGGCAGCTGAAGAGTGAGGTAGCTTTTCTCAGAGTAATAGGGTTGGGCCCCAACCTCCAATCAGTGAGACACGGGTATCACCCTTCTACCATCTTGGACGCCTCTGAGAAATCACTTCCCAGAAAGCTAACCAAGGCCCAGGGAAAGACAAAGCAGCTCCGAAGCCAGAGGCCCAGCTTCCCTGGCCCAAGCCTGAGCTCCCTGCCATCCTTTGCCTCTCCAGGTTTCCTGCTGGCTTCCTCCGGGTCCCCAGTGGGCTAGCCGTGCCTTCAGGAAGCCTTCAGAGCAGAACTCTACTCCACGGTTCCCAGGCAGTTTAGGCTGGGTTGCTACGGACTCAGTCCCCAAGGAGCCTGTGGGAGCAGCTGCTGGAGCCCCAGTCCCAGAGGAAGCTGTTGATTTCTCAGAGCCTGGAGTGCTGTTGTCCAAGAGGCGAATTAGACAACAGCAGTATTAGGAAGCTTTGTAAGTCTCGGTCACCTCGGCAAGCCCCTCATACCTCGACTAGCCACGCCCAACAACTGGGAATATAAAGGAAGAATTTCTTCCAATCAGAGAGTCACTTTGAGAACTTGCATTGGAACTGTGATGAGAATGAACATGGAAGTCACACACAGGGCTGTACGTTCTGCTTTCCTGGTGAGACCTTTTTCCCTTGGGGACTTCCTGAATGAGACAGGACCATGGGCTTTCTAACTACGAGGGCTATGCCTTTTAGAAGGCACCCAATTTAAACACTGTGGTCTCAGCATCTCCCACTACCACACAGAGTATCATAGTTTAGCCTTACTGCTTGCCTGCAATAGGTTAGACATTGTCCTAAATGTTCCATGGCTCATCTCACTTCATATCCATATGTACTATAGGTTGGGAGTGTTATGTCCTCCTTGTCAAATGTACCTGGGAAGTAAATCTACCTTGTAGGCTGTTCGGAAGGTTCCGTGGTCACAATTGTTACACATTTAATTGGTACCCGATACCGAGCGTCTTATCTCATTTTAAAGGGGATGAGACAAAACATGGGTTACAGATAGCCTAGGATTTGAACCTGGTATTTGGATGTAAGAACCCATGCCTTTAATCACTACACCTACCATCTCCTTCTATGGCTTAAGCCTCCTCCAAGAAATGGAGCCATCTCTTGGAACAGGCCAAAAATGATGTCCTACCCCGTGTGGAACTAGAAACAGAAAGTGAGAGAAGATACAAAAGTCTATGATTTGGCAAGAAAGCTGACTAAAGTCGGGGCCTGAGGGAAAGGGGACGCTTTGGGACCCGCAAACTCAAGAACATATGTGTCTCCAGGAATTCAGGTCCTGGGTGCACACTCAGTCTCAGTGACTGCAGGTGGCACACAAAAGTTGTTGTTCCTAGGTTACAGGGGCAGGTCCTGGTCCTGTGGTTTTCACAAGGACAATTAGGAACAGTAAGGCCAGATGCTCTGTGGGAATCCATGTGCTGACTTGGGACAGTTGATGTTGGCAGCTAAGTCCTGTGCAGCCCCGTGAGGAGGTCAGTGTAGTGGGTGTGGATGGGAACTCTGGGGACAACTGTGTTGCAGCAAGGCTACTTATTGGTTCCCAAAATAATCACACAGAAACTGTATTAATTAAATCACTGCTTGGCCCATTAGCTCTAGCTTTTTATTGGCTAACTCTTACATATTAGTTTAACCCATCTCCATTAATCTGTGTATCGTCACGTGGCTGTGGCTTACCAGCTAAAGTTTCAGCATGTCTATCTCTGGTGGTGGCTCCATGGCATCTCCTTGACTCCACCTGCCTTCTCCCAGCATTCAATCTAGTTTTTCCCACCAACCTAAGTTCTGCCCTAATAACAGGCCAAGGCAGTTTCTTTATTCATTAACCAATAAAAGCAGCACATAGACAGAAGGACCTCCCACACCACAACTGAACTAAAAGGATGGAAAGATCCATTCTGAGGCAGCCTCAAAAATGTCCAGAACGAAGAAGGCAGCAGCAGCAATGAGCTCTGTTCTTTAAAAGGCAGCTCAGATTCCAGCCTGGGAAACATGCTGTACTCAGCAAATGAACAAAGGGCAACATGCCCAGCCTAACAGGTCAGCTTCCTGCGGAGTTACAGAGCCATGGCCTGAGGTGGCTGGGCCTGCTGGCCTCTTATGCTCACGTGATCCAAAACTTGCTCACCACATATGGGTCTGGGGAAACACAGAGTCTAAGGAGGCCACCAGGAGGCCCAGAGGCTACAGTCAGAGAACTGGGTGGGATAAATTCTCAGAGACATTTGGGTTTGTCTTGTGGCGCTGGGTACTCCTCACACAAAGCCACCACTGTGTCCAGAAAGGAGAATCTATTGAGGAATTGCAGGCACTGCTTCCTTACGGGGAGTGGGACAGATCGCCTCTGTTGCTGGGTGAAAACGTTCCCACAGCTGGGTAATAAAAGAAGACTGGGATCAAGCCTGACTGGGACAAGCAGAGACAGGGACACACGAGGAGGGACAGAACACTCGAGACTGTTCCGTGTGGCCATTACTGTTTGCTGGTGTCATTCCACGCAATCAGCCTCACCTGTGCCACGCCATGATATCCGTTCAGTTCTGAAGTGGAGTCAGCCAAAAACCAGCATGCCTAGTTTGAGGTCCCACACACTGACAGGATTTTGGTGCCTCCTCTCCTTTGCCATCCAATGCAAGATAAATAAAAGCTAAACCATAAAATATGTGTGGGGAAACTCAACACAAATCTGATTTTTCCCCATGAGGACGATTTTTCTTCATATGCTTCTTAACTAGAACATTACTTCATAACATTTTCCTCATTTTTTTAGGCCCTGCTTGGTTGGCAATCTCAGTATGTGGTCTCCTTTACTGATGACCTAAGCATCCAGTGTTCGGCATAGAGCCAAGAATCTCAACCAGGCCTGCCTTTCAGGCACACCTCCCCAGACAGAGGCCCAGGTTTTAAGCTGCTACTGGGACTACACCCTGGGGGAAAGAACTGAAAGGTTGGGGGGGGCTGCAAATACTGCCGTTGGAGGCTCTGGGTTGGGTGCCCCAAATCATCTGGAGAATCTGTTGTTCCCTTGAGTGGCTTAGGAAACTCATACAACTCTACCACCCACATGACCCTGGACAAGTTGCTCAAAAGACTAGGAGGGCCAGCAAGACGGCTCAGTGGGTGAAGGTGCCTGCTGCCAAGCCTGACAGGCTGAGATTGATCTCTGGCATAGTGGAAAGAGAGAACCCACGCTGGCAAGTTATCCTCTGACCTTCACATACAGTGCACACACATATAGGCAGGCACACACACACATGCACACATGTACCCACATGCTAAGTAAACAAATAGGTAAAATTTTCAAAGAATAGCCGCTATCTACCTGATGTATAAAGTAGGGAAGCGCCTAGTTCCTAATTACGGCAGCTAAAAAGTAAAACCGTTTCAGGTATTCCCCATGTTTTGGGAAAGCAAGGCTAACAGCAGACTTTGCCCACAATGACACAAACAATAATTAGAGAAAATGATTCCTTCCATGTCGCCTGCAGGTACTCGGCAGATCTCCCCCTCATCTCTAAACGCAGTTCAGACGTGTACTCCAGCCTTAACAGATTCATTGCCGCCTCACCCAAACCACACACACTCTTCCCTCATTTGGGCAACAGCAGACCTCAGGGTTCCTCCTCTGCACAGCTGTGCAGTATTACGAGTTTTGGGGTCACGCATCTGTATCTTTGGGTCACTCAGCCATGGATCCTTCTACTTTAAAATAAGATGAGGATAATTCTTGTTCCATTAACCTGACTGAGTTCTAGGGAAACAGTAACGTGTACACACAAAGTGGGTGGAAGACTCTCTATGGCTAGGTTAAGAAAAGTTAGCTCCACGCCCAGGCAAACTGGCCATGGTGCTGTGTACACGGGACCCTCAACTATGGGAAGTACTTGCCGCAGAAGGATAGTTTAGTGCTCAGATCATCTGGTCTTAGCATTCCCTTCCAGGCTCCATCCTGGGACAAGTCTGCCTACCCAGGACACGAATGACTCTGACCTTCTGGCCTTCTGTATATAATATGGAGAGGCAGCATGCCCTTACCTTACAGGCTGTGGCAGTGCTGGAAGGAGACTGTCCCCTATCTCTTGAGGGTCAACCTCAGCTAGAAAGAAGGGAGGGAATGACACCACCCCCAACATGGTGCCTGGAACTAAATGGTGTTGAACTGGCTATGAACTATCCAATTCCCATGAGGTGGTTATTAAGATTCACATTGAAGGTCAGAGAGGAATGGTGGTGTGACCTACCCTATCCTTCTTATCAGTCTCTTGGCTAGGAAGTAGGGGAACCCAGGTTCTGCTGACCTAGCCTGGGTAAGACCTTTGTGCCACAGCCAATGAGGACGGGATACAAACCTTTCTCCAATGGTGCCTCTAGTGCCCTCCAGACGCCTGGCTTCAAGGTGATTCCTCAACTGGACCTGAGGCAGGCAGATACAGCTCCTCCAGCCTTAAACGTTTTGCTCCCTTCAGGAACCAATGAGCCTTAGATAGAAGTAACTGGATATTCACCCAGCCACACTTTGAACCCAGGACCCTTGACTCTAAGAGAATCTTTTGGCTCAGGCTGGCAGGAGACTGAAGTGGTGTAGGTACTGCAGGCAGAACTGAGTCCACAGATGAGTGGCTGTCCCTGGGATGGCGGCCTCTCCACCTTTGACTTCCAAGAAAACCACCTTTCCTGGAGGTGATCATATACTAAAGGCCAGGGTAAGGATTGGGACCCCATCCCTGTCTATCCTGGGACTGCTAAGAGATGGTGCAACCCCAAGAAAATGCTGTGCCAGAATATGCTGCTCCACCTTTGGTGGAGGCTGCAGAGTTCTGAAAGAAGCACGAGCACCTCAAAGGGCCAGCTAAGATGGCCTCACTTTGGAACACCCAGCATCCCAGTCGTTCAAGGCCCACTACGGAAGAGGATCAAGATCAACCCAGACATTCCCGTGGGGGTTCTGAATCTCAGACCTCCCCACGTCAGCCCAGGCAAGGTTCAAGGAGGCCACAGTAGCAGCTGGGACCTGGAATGGCCCACATCCATCCCTACCGCCAGGAGACAGAGGAGACACGGAAAGAAACAGGAAGGGGTGGCCAGCAGGTCTAACAGGTCCAAGGAAGGAGGGGCTTAGAGTTGCAGGCCGGCAAGAGAAACAGCAGAGGCGGAAGGAGGCTGCCAGGAACACAGAGCTACTGTGCTCCAAAGAGACAGACTGTGTTGGAGGGAGCAGCCCACAGACCAATTTATTGTTTATTTTATTACTCTGGGTTGCTGGGCCTCAGGCCAGGGAAGTTATTTCAGGCAGAGATCATAGCACGTTAATTAGTTATTAGAAGAATGTCCTTTCTGTGTGTTCTTCCCAGGACAAGAAATAGGACTTCATGGTGTGGATGAAACTGAACTGGAAGTGGATGGAGACGAAACGCCAAGGACGAGGGGAACCAAGGTGCAAATACTTGTTTCTGGAGGGGAAAGGTTCCTCTGAGGTGCAGGCCTCAGACAGAGATGGGAAGGCTCCTAAGAGCCAGCGAAGGGCACACAGAGGCAAGTGCCAGTTGTGCCTGCTGCCATCTTGTAAGACCACTGCAGAATGTGACTCTTAATACAGAACGTTTTTTTTAAAATTAAATATTTATGAAAAATGCTGCACAACCTTTGGCCTAGTAATTCTGCTTCTGGGAAACTCCAGAAAAAAAAAAAAAGAGCCAGTCTGTGGGGAAGATGCTCTTCCGGGTAATCTTGCAGTAGCGAACAAATTAGGAACAACTAAGAACGCTCAAAAGTAGTATAGCTAATTAAGAAGCAAATTGCATCTATACGAAATGAAATATTATACAGCCCACAAAAACAATGGTTATGTGGGGCATATTCACACTATAACGATAATTAAAAAAAAAACCTAGCATACAAAATTACATTCATGGCATGTCTTTAACAGAGTATAAAACAGCTGTAGTCCAGGGAAGGCAAATATATTATTTTTAATGCTTTCTTCTGGGATTTAGGTTAGGGACAGTTTCGTTTCATTTTCAATTTTTTTTCTCTTCTTTACTTTCTAGTAACAAATGAAACTGTTGGATTTTATGAGAGGAAAGCAAAGTGTGCAGTTTGGTTTGGAAAACCCTTATGTTATGCCCCTTGCTCTGCTAGAGAACACTCTCCCTCCTCCTGCCCTACCAGATGACTCTCTCTAGAGGGGAAACAGCTTTGGAAGCACGAGCTAAATTCAGTTACTGGTGTGAGCGGGAAGGGGGACCCCTTGGGCTTCGAGGATAAGAGAGGGGAGGGATCTGCCCCCCTTAGCCTTCTGTCCCCCTCAGATAAGGGATAATGTGGGGTACGTCACCCTGCCACTTTCTCAGACTCAGTAACAGCCAGCGATGACTCAGGCAAAATCAGGAGGGTATCTCACACAAAGGCGCTTTAAACCTTTCTCTGCCCGGGATCCCGCTCTTAAAACACTTGCCTCCCTTCTTCCCTCCCATTTTGCAAGATGGCTGCTGGGAAATTCCCAGAGCTGAGGTCCTGGAGAAAGGCTCAGGCACAGAGCCTACCTTGCAAGTACCCTTGCTGTGGGAAGATGTTCCAGTAGCTTAATGTCTTTAGGGTCATGACCAAGGATGATCAGAGGGCCAGGGCAGGCTGTGCAAGGCCAAGAACAGTTTGCGGGTGGCCCACACTTCCCATGAGACAAAACCTAGCAGAGTGGAAGGCGCTGATCACAAAAGACCTTGTGCACCCAACCCAGGTATCTCTGAAACACGTTTGGTACCAAACGGTGCTTAATAAAAATGAATGGCTGATCTTGAATCCAAGATTCTCCTCTGTGTTTCCAGTAAAATCCACTCAATACTACAGGCAAATTTAGGGCTTTCATGTATTTTTCTAAAGATAGCTCTACATCTTTCATTAGGTTTTTTTTTTTAAAGGAAAGTGATTTAGATTTTTAAGAATAAAGTAAAAGCAATTGATTAAACTCTCCTATTTAAAATAGAGTCAGCAAACCATTACTCTCCCCCTCCCCCCGGCCCTCACTTTAGAAATCATTTGACCTTGTAAAACTGCCGGTCAAGAGGACAGCCCAAAGACAAACTTGACTTGGTGCCCTGTTCAGACATGACAGGTTAGCAGGCTGCGCACAGTACTCCCAGAAGTTTAGCACTGAAGAGAATGAGTCACTGGACTGTCAACTCTCCTGAGCTCATCATCAAACAAAGCACATGGTTTTGTACATCACAAATGCCAACCCAGAAATAGGAGGACCACTGCTTCTGCAGGGGAGTACCCTTGACTCTGGGAGGGCACCAAACCCTCTCTCCACACTGTAAGAGCGCACAGACCCATAAGCACTCCTCAGCCTTTGCAAAGACAGCACTGGCCCTGCAGACTCGCACACTGAAGATGGATAGAGGCCTGCTCTTCAGATAGGAATGTTTCTGCCTCTGGTGGAAAACACACAAACCTTTCTCTTTGAATGCCTGTAGGACTTCTTAGGGATACCTCTAGCCCCCAAATTCTATCATTTAAAGGAATGGAAGACTCACTGTTAAAGTTTCAGGCTTTTAACTAACATTTCCTCAACATGTACCTAGGGCCACATCCCAGGTCTGCGTCCATACTGTGTGACTCTGAACCATCAATTCCCCTCTGAATCAGCTCCGCTATCTTGCCTGCAAAGTCAAGGGGCTGGATGAGGCACATCAGTATCTCCTCTACTTTGGTGAGTCTTTAATATTATTACTGAACTAATAAGATCAAAGAAGGTAACATATATTAAAAGTATTCTGTTTCTGGGCTTGCTTCACATCCTTTGATTCTCTAAGAGAAAGACGCAAAAGCTCTGACATAGAGAAGAAAAAATGATTAAAAACAAAAAAACAAACAAACAAACAAACAAAAAAACAACAAGAGGCTCCAGGGTCCACAGTCCACCATCACTCCCAGGCCTGTGACTGTGAGAACAACTCAGATGTAAAGGTAAGGCTTCTCTACACAAGATGAGAGGTCCTAGCCAAAGGGAGGGTTACGACACCCCCGGCAGTACTAGATGCCTGGTTCCTTCTTTGCCTCAGCTCCACAACGCACAAACCAGACAACAGAGACGATTCTTAATTTGAAACGTTCAAGGGCTAAGAAAGCAGAGAGGCATCATGCAGAATTCAAGGGGGACTTGGCAGCAGGGTCAACTTTTGAGGCTTCCCACAGGGATTTCTTCAGAGCCCTTAATCAAGACTTTCCACGTCACCCTGAAGGCTCAGCACCCAGCCGCGGCTCACCTGATGAAGGTGGTCTTCCCAGTAGAGTACTGGCCCACCAACAGGACCATGGGCTTGTTGTCGAAATCAGCATCCTCCAGGGCAGGCGAGTGGAATTCATGGAAGCGGTAATATTCTTCCAGGGGCAGCAGCTTACTCTTGTAGAGTTTCTTGAGCCCGTCACTCACAGTTTGGAAGACCTCGGGGTCCTTCTTGCGGCGATCATCGCTACCCAGCCAGCTGAACATCGTGGCAGCTGGGGAAAGGCTCCAAGGAGAAGCACCCGCCTGGGTCGAGTCGCCGCCGCTACCTCACCGGAGCACCGGGCTCAGATGCACCATGGCCCGGGCTGCCCCACTTGCTGGACCCAGCCCAGTCCCTGCTTCATCCGCAGCAGGGTTGGTGAGCAGGATGCTGTGAACTGAGCTAGGAGAGCTGCAGCCTTGGAAATTAAAAGCGAACCTGCCGGGAAGCCGGTGCGGGGTGGGGGTGGGGAGTTGTGGGGGAGGTCCTGAGTCTCCCCAAGATGCGTGACTAGAGGATGCTCGGGCTCCACTGCTGTGGTGCCCAGGAAGCTCCGAGTAGGCGGCCGCGCACACAGCTCTGCATCCGCAGCAGCATCCCGCCGCCCCCGGCGCGCGTTTAAATGCCAGTCGTGCAGGAAGTCCCCGAGAACTGGCAAAGCCCAGCCGGCCCCACGGTCCTGGCGACGCGAAGCCGAGCAGGGCGCCGCCATGTCTGTGGGCAGGCACTTTGCGACCGCGCGGACTTTATCTGCAAACCAATGCTTCTAGAGTCCTGTGGGAAAGCACTGGTATTTCCTTCCCAGCCCTGGGGATTTGTCTTAGGAGCAGCGCCCTCTCAGGGACAGGAATGGCGCCTATGACAGCCTCGACCTACTCTCCCTGTTTTGAGACCCAGTTCCTTTGGTTACTGAGGTCAGTTCCCTGAGGACACCAGTACTGTTTATCTGGGGAAGATTCCACTGTTGGGGAGTATTTTTTCTTGGGGCATGGAAAGAAGGGTCTGATGTCAAGTGACATAAAATAACCTCAAATACCAGTACCAGTAATTAAACTTTTCTTTAGACCTGGGATGAAGACAAAACTGTTTCCCTCCCCCCACACCACAAAACAGGTAACCCAGCAAACCATACACACGTAGGGAGTGTGTGCTACGGGGCAGCGACATAATTTGCCCAACTACATACAAAGCTGAGGGAAGCAAGGCAGACCTGAGAATTACAGCAGACACGGGAAGAGGGATGTGGAAACGGGGATCATCTTTTGCTTTTCCCTGGACAATTTGTAGGCATCACAGGAAACACGGCTGTAAGATGGATCTTCAAGGATGAACCGAGAGAGAGGAAAGGAAGGTATTTGAGGACAAGTAAAGGGTTCTTGTAAAGAAAAGGGGTCTTGGTGAGTCCCGGGCAGTGTAAACAGTTTGGCAGAGCTGCTTTCAAAAAGCTGGAAGGTATGATTGCAAACAATCATGGAAGGATATGCACACCAGGACAGGGGCCAAACAAGAAATGGGAAGCCTTATAATGGCTGTATTAACAAAATGCTCACGGCTGAGATCTCAGAAAACATTCTCGACTCAACATCACAGCATCCCCGTGGGGAAGAACATCCATAGCATCTCCAGCAATGCCAAGGAGAGTGGTGGAGGAACCACCAGGCTATGGCAGTGGGTGGGGGCAGCAACACTGAAGGGACTCAGGGACAGTATTAACACTATTGATCAATGTGATGGCAAGTCATTCTTTCCTACTCTGGTAGCGGGCTCCTACTGTCCTCCCTTCAGCGGACAAGACAGTAGCTAATAGACCAGGTGGAGTTGGAGAAACTGGGAGCATTGAGAGGCTGAGAGAAACTGTCCAGAACGTCAGGGAACAGTAACAATGGGGAAGGAGAAGAGGTGAGATTCCAGAGACTCTGGCACAGAGTGGGCAGTTTGATAAATAATAAAAGAGGAAAGGATGACAACTCAAAGCCTAAGGCAGATTCAGATTTTCTACTGCTGGGGACCAAACAGTTGGAGAGCTCTTGCAGTAATTGAGGAAGCTGGCAAGGGGACAGAATGAATAGATGTGTTTGAGCTACAGTGGGTCGCCCGTGGAACAAGCCTGTGTGAGTGGCAGATGGATGGATGTGCTGACTGTGGGGTTTCTGTGGGGACCATTAGAGAGGGTGCTGAATGGAATTTCCTTAGTTCAGGTCTCCTGACCCCTCGTTGAATCCAAAAGCGGACTATCTTCTTCCGAGCACTGTAGCTAGGGCTGAGAAATCACATAGTTTCACATTTTACATTAGTGCCAACATGCAAACCTAAGAGACAATATTACAGTTATTTATTGACTCAGTGGTGCAGGGATGGAAATCCAGGCTGAATTGCCTAAGAAAAGCCTAAGAAAATTGACAAGGTGCAGCTAAGGTGTCTATAGACCCACATGTCCCGCGCTACCGTCTCGCCAGCAAGAACCACGCGGGACACATAGGATCCTTCTGCAGAAAAGCTTTATGTCTCTTGGGAGCTAGAGCATAAGCCACATGGCGGAGACCCAGATAAGATGGAACCCATCCCTTATAAAGGAAACAGACCCCGCTCTGGACATGTCTTTCCTGGATTGGTCAACTGCTCCCAGTCCCAGGTGAAACCTTGGGAGTAGTGGAAAATACCAACACATGTGAGCTTTCTAGCTCACCTGGCGGTGCAGCGCCATCTATGGTGGAGAGTGTGGTTGCGGCCCTCTACACCCACAGTCCACAAATAACTTAGCTATTCCATCCACAAGAAGGATAGAAAATAAGGAGGTAGTGGGGAGGAGGAAGCAATAATGGGGGCAATAGCAGAATACAGACTATGGGAACCGGTCCCGATGGGGACCTTTTCACTGCCGGAGTGGGGAAGATGATACGGTTTTAGTGTAGAGATAGACCAATACAATAATGACACAGGCAAAAATTCCAGCAAACACAGAAAAATGACCCACAGAGAAGTTGCCCTAGAGAATGCAAGCATGTCACCATAGGCCAGGAAGAAACCCTTAAACAAAGCCCAAAATACAAACAGCAAATGGGAAAGAATAATGTTTGGAATTAGTAAAAACTAAGAAGACTGGAGCAGGAGAATCATGAGTTCAAGGCCTAGGCCTGGAGAGATGCATCCGTGGGTGAAACCCTTGCCATGAAGCCCAAAGATGGGGATCTGGGTCTCCAAGTCTCCCAAAAGCAGGGTGGGTGTGGTGTCCTGCCTGTTGTCCCAGCACCCAGGCAGTGACAAGGCATTCCTGGAGTAAGATGTCTAGTCCAACTTAGGCAAAACTCTGGGTTTAACAAGAGACCCTGCCTCAAAGTATGAAGTGGGGAATGATGGAGGAAGACAGTGTTGGCTTCAGAGCTCGCATGGATGCATAAAATCACACTCAACCCCCCACATGTGTGCCCACAAACCAGCAAACACATATAGGCAAATTTGTATGTACCAGATATACATGCATATATGAAAAAAGTTCAAGGCCTGTGCTACAGGATGAATTCCAGGTCAACCTGGGAGGCTTAGAAAGACCCTGTCTCAAAAACTTCAACAGAGATGGGCTATAGCTCAGTGGAAAAGCAACACAGTTACTTAGATGTACCAGATCCCTGGTTCACTATCCAGTAAAACACATACGCATGTACACTTGCGCGCACACCCCCCCCACACACACACACATACACACACATGCCTGAAGAACATGCGTTTTCATTTCAAGACTTCATAAAAAGCATCCTTCACTCTGTAGCTCCCCTGGAACTCAACTTTTTGTAGCAGCATTTATTTCTAATCCCGCTATCTCCAATTCAGCAAACAACCCCTGTGTTGACCATATGTGCGGGAGGAGCGATGTTCAGTCATACCACCTGTAATAGAGCGGTCCCATGCCCCCTTGGTCTTTGGTAGGCAACTCTAAGGCAAGCAGCTTTGTGTCCAGGCCTCAGCTCAGGTTTTGCAAGGGCGACGGTGGCAGCATTGGTTTTCTGGATTAAAGAAGAGAATACTTAAAGCATGCTTAGCTCAGTGCCTGGTCTACTAAGAGCACCTCTCTGTAATATTAGCTCTTTAGTATAATCACTATAACTTTTATTCACTTCATGGTACTGCCCTGTATCATGTTTAATAAGCTTTTTAATAAGCTACTGATAAGGTTAATACTCAATAACTTTAATATTTAATAAGTTACTTAATAAGCTAGCACTTAATAAGCTATGAACAGCTCCATCTGGTTCATTTGTGTCCTAACTGGGGGTGGCTCATTAGCTCCAAGGAATATAATTGCTAATGGTAGAAGCTGTGACATTCATGCAATCATTTGGGGATGTCGCTATGAAATGTGCCTTCTACTCGTCTCCTTTCTCTTCTGTTTGGTGCCAAGACCACTAACTTCTGGAAAGAGGTAAAGGGAGAAGATGGAAGGTGAAGTGGCGATCCAGAATGAAAGCTTCATCTTTCCAGGGGAAGTTAGGGGAATTGCGAAGTATCCTTCGGGCACAACCAGTCACCTGTAGTCAGGACCATTTTAGTTCTCACAACCCCCGCCCTCTCCCCATAACCCAATGCGCCTCCTAGAGCATCACGCGCATAAACAGGGGTCTTGGTACTGAAATGCCAGCTTCTACCATGCATAGTTCCTTGGAACCCTACCCTCAATAACTCACTAGTCCATTCCCCATCTCTCCAACGGATTGCCTCCATCAAGTCCCACCTCAGTCATCTGTGTCTGTTCTGAAGAGTTGGGCTGACAGCTTTCCCACAGGAGTAAACCTTTCTCCTCCTCCTCTCCGTTTCCGAACCACCTCATGATTCCATGATTCCTATGACTTCATTCATCCTTCTTTGCTGTATGTGTCTTCCAAGTGGGCAATGTATGTCTTCCACCTGGTCCCTTAGTTTACTCCTAAACAACAACAACAACAACAGAGAAATGCCCCCTGACTAGCCAGTTGTTCCTACTGAAACTGTGTGAGCTGTATCGTTCTGAGTTGTGCGGTCAGGGAAGGTGGTTTATAGTGACTATAGACGTATATACTCCTAGTTCTAGACGCGGGAAAGTCTAAACACCAGAGGCAGCCATTTGGCAGGTCCTTTCTGCTATGTCAGCCCATGGAGGAAGGTCAAAGTTGAGATAGTAGGAGGTTAAACATGAGGCCCTCTGATAATCAGCACCAATTCATGTTTAAGAGGAGGATGGCTGAGGACTGAAACACTTGCCATTGTGCCCCCAACACCCACTGAGTCCCATCCCCTGACAGTACTGCCCTGGCAATTAAGTTTTCAGTGTACTTAGTTGGGAGGCTGGTAGAACATACCCAAGCCATAGCAGTTGTGTTACCTCTGTTATGAAAATGCCCTCACATGTGTGACCAGGGCTAAGATTGATAATTCATAATGTTGTGATAATAAAGTAAATATGCTAGACCAATGCAATTTCATACATCCACAGCAGCTCTGGAGCAAACAGTAATTTCCTTCCCCTTCCAATGATCACTGAATGCTACACAAGGAGGAGAGCCTGGGATACAAATAGGGACACGGAAAACTGCACCTCTGTGTCACCTGGTTTTGGGTCAACTTGCCACACATTAGAATCACCTTAAAGGG